TGCTGTTCTAGGAAGTTACTCCTTTAGGAGGTAGGCCCCACAGTTAAAGTAGGCTACTAGAGGAGAGGCCTGGAGAGTCTTATTCCCTCTGGTTTTGGTCCAGCTCTGTCTGCTTTCTATGGGCTGCCATGATCTTACCAGGTTCCAATGTCAGCAGCAAAGTACCTCAGCTGCTATACTTTCCCTGTCATGATAGACTGCATCCCCTGAACCAGGAACCAAAGTAAGCCTCTTCTTACTTGCTTCTATGGTTTCTGTCAGGTATCTACTTGAAGCAATAAGGAAAGTAACTCATAAAATATCTTATAGTTGCAATAGGTTATTTTAAACAAATAACAATTTTAACACCAATCAGAAAAAATGCCCTAAATTTTAACTGATGTCTCAATTTATATCTCTTTGATACTATTAGCTATTGTAACTATATTTGCTTTGTTGGTTAACATTCCCATCTGGAATATAAGTAGTTCATCTTACATTCGTGGTGTGAAGGGCTGGTTGGTTGGTTGGGTTTTTCAAGTGTGGGTGTGTGTTGATTTTACTTTGACCTGTGAATTTTGTATCTTCAGGTATTTTTACGTTACACATTAGGGTCCTTTCAATTTGAAGACTTCCCTTTGGCATTTTTGCAAGATATGACTTAACTGACATTAATTAACTCCCTCAGTTTTCATCTAAGAGAGTCATCTCTCTCCTACATTTCTTGGTTGGTAGTTTTTCCTTTCAGCATTTTGACATTATCACCTTGCCTCTCTCCCTGTCTGCAGGATTCTATGATAGTACAACATGACTTCTTCCCTACGCTGATCGTCTTAGGGATTTTTCTTTGTCATGATGTTTGGTAGTGTCTCTTTGTGTGACACGGGGGGGGGGCTCTCTCCTTTGCATTCTATTTGAGTACAGGTATGTAAACTTCCTTTGACTGAATGCTGGGTTTTTCCTCAGATTATGGAAAATTCCTCTCAATACTTAAAAAAATTATTTTACCTATTTATTTTTGAGACAGAGTCTCACTATATAGACCTGGCTGGTCTGAAACCCTATATGTACACCAGGCTGGCCTTGAACTCACAGAGATCCAGCTGTCTCTGCTTCCCGAGTGCTGAGATTAAAGATGTGCAACCATCACACTTGTCTTCATTTGTCCTATATTTCTTTAAATATGCTTTTTTGGTTCTAATTCAGCTCTCCTCACTTTCTTTAATTCCTATTACACATAGAATATATCTCTTGATGGTAGCCCACAATTACTATAACGGTTTTTCATAATGTCCCCTCTCTCTTTGACATTGGATTGGCAAATTTCGAATGTTCTGTCTTCAATCTCACTGTTCCTCATTTTGAGCTGCTAAAGCTTCTATTGCATTTTTACTCAATCCATATTATTAATCCATTGTTTAGATTCTGTCTCTCTTTCACTCTCATCCTCTCTTCCTCTCATTCCCTGCTGTCCCTTCTTTCTTTCTTTTTTGCTTTTGCAAAACTATTTGTTTTATTCATACATTTTTTTTCAAATTTCATTTAATTTTTTGTCTATGTATTCTTGGAGTTCACTGAATTTTTAAGAGGTATTGCTAATTTTCTTTTCTGATATGGCATAGTTGTCCCTTTCTTTTATGTCCATTGTTATGGTTTTATTGGAGGTTGTGATGATATACTGTCTTTTCTGTTTTTGTTTTTGAGGCAGGGTTTCTCTATGTAGCCCTGGCTGTCCTGGAAATCATTCTGTAGACCAGACTGGCCTTGAACTTGGAGATTCATCTGCCTCTTCCTCCCAAGTTCTGGGATTAAGGTGTGTGCCATCACTGGCTGTCTACTCTTTGTCATCCCATGTTCTATCACCTGGCCTTCATATTTGAAGAAGCAGCTACTTTGGCATCTTTGAGCACTTTGCAAACAAAGGTCTTCACTGCTTATATTATTATGGTGGTCATTCATCCCTGCTGGCAAAGTCACTGGCCAGCAAAGCTCGCCTTCAAGATCTCTAGATGATCATGCTGCTGCCTTTGCATGGGCTTTATCCTGATTTCTGGCAAGACAAGTGGTTGTGCTCTGCAGTTAGGCTGAGCTTCTGGGTGGGCAACAGCCACTAATCCAGCTGGGCACAGAGAACACTTCTGGCCACTGTGGTGGTCTTCTTACTCCTTTGGTGAGTCTGAAGGTGGCTCTTGGAGACATGGGAATACTGTTTAAACTCTCAAGTGTGGTAGAACCAGCATCTGTTAATAGCTGTAATTCATAGCTTTGGTAGTTAGTGTCCATCTCTTGGCAGCCACAGAAAGAAATGTTTCAAATCCCAGGTAAAGCAAACCAGTTCCTTGTTATCAATTAAACAGCTTTGGTCGGACCCCACTCAGGGAAGGGTCTGGAGTGGTCTCTGTAGTCAGGACAGTGGTTATGCTCACAAAATTCACTGGAAGGGCTTTCCTATCCCTGGGCAGACTTAGACTTGGAGAGAGGATATGCTGGAGTGTGGGCTACTAAGGAAGCAAGGCTGGAAGAATGTTCACCTCCTCTAAGATCCAGCCCAGCTTTGCCAGTGGTTACATCATTGCCTGAGGGCGATGACAAACCGCCACTGCTGACAGGCGTAAGCTTCCACTCCAGCGCTGCACAGGTCCCCTAAGTGGGCTCAGCTCTTTGCTAGTTTCTCTCTGGTTGCCATTTTTCCTCCAAGTTCCCCATGAACCGAGAACAGAGGGTGCTTCCCTGTGGTGTTTCAGAATGCCAGGGACCTAGCTGCTTTCCTGGTCCTCTCTTCCCCCTGGAAAGGCTTTGGATCCTGAGGACTTCTCTCTGGGGGACAGTAGCCCCCTGAGAGAGGAGAAGGGTGATACGGTCCTAACAAGACCATTTTTCTTTCCCTATCACTGGAAGTGGGCGCGTGCATGCGTGCATGCATGTATGCATGCGTGCGTGCGCATGTGTTAGGTCTGTGGAACACAGAAGTGGTTAGTCTTAACCCCATGCTTTGGGAATTCCAGTGATGTCACTACACTCATTCCACTTAGTTCAGGATTTCCACACTTTGCTATTTATTGTTAATAAAAATCTGAAAGACTACAAGTAATTTTTAGCACAAACTTGAACACAATTAAGAAAATAGTATATTTACTTGCAGAAAACAATGAAATGCATGAGAAATCTGTCTCTTTTAGGGGCAACAGACTTCAGAAAAAAATCCCCAATGTTCAATCCCTCCCAAGATATCACAGACAAGCCTAAGCAAGGGAAGATTCCTTAAAAGACACCAAAGGAAAATTCTGCCTGTATTGCTATAGAAGAACTGCAACCAGCAAGCTTCTATCTATCCTGGGAGGGGCTGCTACTATGGCCCAGCCCTTGTCCACCAACTTTGTGAGTCCTGAGTGCGGAACAGCTGTGCTTGCTGAAATAAAATGCCATGTTCTCAGGTTTGTGACTAGGCAAAGTCCTAAAAACAGATGACAAAAACTCCCATTCTAATCCCTTTCTTCCTTAGGTGAAGTAGCCAAGACCAGAACAAGTCACATTAGTCCGTGATTTGCAGGATGCATGGGACAGAGAAGAGCACACGGCAGAGCAATGGGAAAGGAGACAGAGTGCATGTGACCACAAGGGAATTCTATGTCACATTCATTGATAAACACAGACATAATCCAGAACCACAGGAAATATGTGCAGTGTGTACCTTTGTATATGTGTACATACAGATGCATTACACACACATACACACGTACTGTATGTACAGATTACATATGTGTAACTATGTGTATGTGTATGCTGCCATGCCAGCTAACAGAAAATCTTCAAACTATGTTCAACAAAAGGAAATGTAAACATGAGTTTTATGATATAATTTTTAAAGAAAATATAAAACACACATTGTGCTAAACAATGTAGGAGTTATTTTCAGATGAAACAAAAAGGGAATTCAATAAGCTTGTTTGAATTATTGTAAACAAGTCACTGTGTTAAGTTTCTTATCCAGACATTTACTATCCAGTAGACACAAAACTTCCCAGTCAGGAGGTTGCTCTCCCAGGACCCTCCAAGGTTCTGGCAGGAATCTTGACTGGGAGTGGGGTCAGTAGTACTGTGCATTCCTGGGCATGGGGCAGGGCTCACCTGGACAGTCCCCCTTGTGCTCTGCCTATCTGCTGGCTACTGGGGACTGACTGGAAAGCAACAGCAAATGAAGAAATCTGGACTCTCCTGAGCACAGGATGCAGAGTTTAAACGAGGGCTAGGACACAGACAGAGGAGAGCAAACCCAAACAAAAAAAACTTACACTGACATATATAAAAACAAAAAGAGGAAAGGGGTTGCCTGGGCAAACCATCTGGCTATCCAATGAATAGACTACAATCTAGAGTCAAAATGGTAACAAAACTATATCACAGACACGAAACTGTTCAGATCTAATCAGGTAACACAACAAATGTATATAGTTTGGGTTTTTATGAAACAATACACAAATAACTGTCTATTATAATAAGCACCTTTTACATATATCATATAAACCAATTCTAAATTCTATAGCTGGGTAGCGTACGGAACTTATTAATGTGGAGCCATGGGTCAAATCTGGCATACCATCTGTTTCATCAGAAAAGGCTTAGCTGGATGAAGTAGTGTTCACTCATTGCTGACTGTAGCAGTGCCATGCTGTACCATGATGTAAGAGCTGAGTAGTTACAACAGAGGCTAATGGGGCCCCAAAGCCTACAGCACTTACTACAGTTTGAGTGTCCTTCATCTGAAGTTACTGGATGTTCAGATTAGGGAAGCTCAATCTGCATGCATCCTCTCACAGAGAAAAATTGACAGCCCCACTCCAAATAGCACTGATCCTACATATGAGGCCCTGCTGCTAAATCGCATAGCTTAGAAGGCAGAGGGACCTCACCTGCTGAATGAGGCAGGCTTTTGTTACCAACAATGAAATGATGGAGCTGCACAAAAGCCCCCAGTGAGGGAAGTGCTGAGCAATGGAGCTTGCCATGGTGGTTCCTCTTACCTGGTTTGCTGTCTTTGCTGATGGACTGTTGTTGAAATCAAGGACCTTTCCCCTGATCTGGTTACTTTTCAAATTTTCTCTCATGGGCTGCTTAGTCTTCTCATCTGTCTTAGTGTCTTCATCACTTTCTGGATTATTTTTCCATTCCTTCATCATTTCTAATACATTGGTTGGTCTCACTGAAGAAAGTGTATTGCCCTATTTTTAAAATCAAATGTCTGTGTTATAGACAGTTCAGATAATTGAAAGATTCTTAAACCTCTTACTAATATATTCTCCCCAAATCAGCAATAGTAACATGGAAAAAATTATAAAATTGAGTAAGTAGCAAAACTTTTGGTGTCTGTTGGAGCACACTCCCTGTCCCACAGTGGGTAACAGCCATAAGGTATCCTTATGGTGTGAACAAGGTTAGAGAAAACCACTCTCAATAATGAAGTAGTAAATGTAGCCTGCTTGTGCCAAGGACACAACATGGCAATTCTATGGCAGCCAAGACCCCTTTAGCACGGTTCTTAGGACCCAAAAGTTAGTGGGTCCAACACTGAAGGTGAGTCTACACCAAATGTCTAGGAAAAACACTCACACTCAGTTATTAGGTAAACAGAATGTCCAAGAATATAGATCAGCTATTTGAAATCTCTTGCCTGGAATATTTCTATATAATGCGGCCATTTGACTATAACTATATTCAGTGTGCTGTTCCTATCCCAGCTATGACCATATCAAACCAAAATTGGCCATTACACACTAACTCTATTTTCCAAACATCCCATCTAATGTGCCAAGACACACAGATGTAAGTTCAAATAACTCCTGATTGACTTAAATATTTTTTATTCTAATTGGGACTGTTAGAGAACATTTGGACAGGAAGTTTGGATCACCTTTAGGTTAAAATGCGACCACATGTATGTAGCAATTATAAGTAGTCTTTGTACGTAGGTAGATTTAAGTGTGAAGCAGTAATGACACAGAAAACTATGAGACAGGGCATATTAAGGGCAGCCATCTGAATATACTGTGGAGGATTTATTGAGTTTAATATGGTCATGGTTAAAAATAGATCAGCATCAAGAACAGAATGGTAATAACAAGAGATCGTTAGGAGACCGAGTCCCAAGCTCTCCTATTCTGCCCTCCTAGAAGGTCAGATCCTTACCTTTTCCTAGCATCTGAGTGCTCTACACTGGCTGTGCTCATGTCTCCTCTACCCCCTAACTTATCATCGCTTTCTGACAACCATGGCCATGGCCTTCAAGACCCGATTTAACAGTCGTCTCTATTAGGTGTCCCAGAACTGGGAGCACACGCAGGGCCAAGGTAGCAGCCGTGGAGACTAGAGCCATTCTAAAATGCTTGCTTGTCTGAGAGCTCACGTTGGATTGAGTTCTGATCTCCAAGGCTTACAACTTCTTAGCTTCATCCTAACTCTTGTCGTAATTCTCGGTACCCAGGCTCCTGGACTTTGGATATACACATCTTGTGCTCGATTGGCAAAGATATAATCTGACATAACTGCCTGTAACCTCAGTCCTGTCCAAACAAATGTCCCCAGGCTAACTCTTTGGATACTGTGGATTTCACTTCTCTACTTTTTGAACAGGATTTATGACTTTTCCAGAATAAAATGATCACTTTCAGGTAACACCCTTTGGGAGATACTACATATTGCATCATGTCCCCAGTTTCTACTAGGTACCCCACAAAAGTCTGGAGCCTTTCTTAGTCAGAGCCCTGACTAAGAACAAATCAACTCTTACTCCTGCCAGGCAATGCACAATGGAAGATACTAAGCAGTGGAACTTAGAAGTCATTCTTTATTACAGGACATGCAGCCTATCCTGATAGGAAGAACAAAGTCACCTCTAAACAACCTTAGCAAGATGAGCCTGTCTACATGACCATGCCCAAACAAATGATAATCATGGTGGAATTCATATGCAATCTGCACAATATGACAGCAGTTTATTACAGCAATCTTTGCAAAGTCGTGATAAACATGTATTTAGTTATCATGATTTAACTAACAGCATCAATTCCTCAAGAGCACAGCTCGAACTTTACACACTGTGGTATATTAAATATCACTCTATAAATTGCAAACCTCACTGCTGGCTTTGCAGCCCACACCAAAAGGTGTCCATTGTGATCAGTAACCAACTCGGTCACTTCTTTCACGATGTATTGGTTCCTGGATATTAGGTATCTGCTGCTCATCCATGTGTCTCCTTGTCTCCAAAGAATTACTCAACAAAGATAAAAGTGCAGCAAAGAGAAGAAAATGCTGAATCTAGAAGTAAAATTTGAATCAAACAGAAGTGAAATAAGAGAGGAAATAGTTTGTGCTGGGGACCCTGACACGGCCTCATTTGCATACAGCCAAAGGAAGCAGCAGAAGAACATTTGACAAGTGAAGGGACTTGTACCAGAAATGATGGAGATGCTGCTGAGGAAGGCTGCCTGCAGAGAATTCTCAGAGGTGTCTCATGACAGAAGAAGCACAAGAATACAAGCTGGAAGCGGATCAAAGTGTAGTGAACAGTGGGCGAGTGTGTCAGACACAACACTAGCCCTCGCTGCAGGAGGTCCCTGCTAAGGCAAGATTGCAGGACTACATAAACCGATCTTGGCGATTGTTTACTAACCATAACACCACCACCAACCTCACTGTATTCATAGTTCTAACATTCTACAATGTATTACCCCATGAACATTACCTGAATTTATTTTACCTTTATGTATGTCTGCAATGAGCAGAGATTTTTTTCTTATTTTTTTAATTTAGAGACAAGCTTGCTTCACATGTCAATCCCAGCTCCCTCTCCCTCTCTTCCTCCTCCACAACCCCACCAGCCCCCCATCCAATCCCCACTCTGCTCTCCAGGGAAGGAGAAGTCTGTCATTTCGTTCAGGGCAGGCCCAAGCCCTCCCCCAACAGTCCAGGCTGAGAGAGCATCCCTCATTGTGGGATGAGCACCCAAAGTCCATTTGTATACCAGGGATAAATACTGATCTACTATCCAAGGCCCCACAGATTGCCTAGGCCTCCTCACTGACACCCATGTTCAGGGGGTCTGGATCAGTCCCATGCTGGCCTCTCAGCCATCAGTCTAGGGTCCAAGAGCTCCCCCTTGTTCACGTCAGCTGTTTCTGTGGGTTTCAGTATGTTTCACAAGTCCAGTCTTGACCCCTTTGCTCATCACTCCTCCCTCTCTGCAACTGGATTCCAGGAGTTCAGTTCAGTGTTTCTCTGTGGGTGTCTGCCTCTGCTTCCATCAGTCACTGGATGAAGGTTCTAGGATGGCATATAAGGTAGTATTCAAACTAATTATCAGGGAGGGGCATTTAAGGTAGTCTCTCCACTATTGCTAAGTTTGCCAGTTGGTATCATCCTTGTATATCTCTGGAAATCTCACTAGTGTCAAATATCTCCTCAAACCTATAATGACTCCCTCTATTATGGTATCTCTCATCTTGTTCTCCTCTATTCTTCCCCTGACTCAACCTTCCTGCTTCCCCTTGTCCCCTCCTCTTCTCCCCATCTCTTTTTCCCAGCTCCTTCTCCCCTCCCCTCATGCTCCCAATCTGCTCAGGAGATCTGAGCAGAGAGTTTTTATATTTAGAATTTTAACAGAGATGTTTGGGTATAGTTTCCCCAGTTATTATGATCATTTGCACAGTTTTGTCCTGTGCTGCCATTTTACATTCCTGCATTATCATATAGAGTAAGGATTACCTATGTTATCTTACATCCATATTTCTAGAAAGATTTCAAGTGTCCAGGATCACCTATTCGCTTGCCCAAGAGCTCAGAAGCTAACACTATGTGGTGTGAGTGCCTTTGTACTCAAAGAAATTGCCCTATTTCTCAATCCAAAGAGATCGTGAGGAAGGGAAAAGGATCTAAACTATAATCATCATCACAACACACACCACTTAAAAGTTAACTTTTTGCCTCCTGTACTCACTTGTGCTAGCAAGCTTGGACTCTGGACACTGGGAAATGGAGTCCATGCAGTCTGTGTCTAAAACCCATTCACAGGCTACCCACTTCCTGCTTGCTAGCAGATGAAGGAGAAATTGCATCAGATACTTGGAATGGCCAGTAAGTAATGGCCTATAGATTAAGCCTAACAAATTATAAACAAACTAACCAACTAAAGAAACAAACAAAAATGGGCTAGAGCTGCCAGCAGGCACTAGATTACCTCAGCAGTAGGGTGCTACCCTCGGGAACTCCCTTTGTTGGCTGCCTCCAGGTCAGACACTAAACTCTTTACTTCAGAGAGAGGCTGCCCCAAGCAGAGACATTTTTGGTTACAGCATTTCTACTGCATAGTCAACAGGTAGTATGTTTTAGCATGGAAAAATTAATCAGGGGTGTGTACTCCCAGAGAAGCAATGGTCTAGTGCTACGACTTTGATTCTTTGCCTTAGTGGATAGCCCCACAAATGGAGACCTAGTGGCATTTCTTCATGTAATGAAGTCTGACTTTCAAAGAGTGCCTGTCATTATTCTGTATATAATATATGTTTAATAGGTATTTTTCATGAACTAGACATGTGAGCTGGAGTAAGATGCTAGGAAATAAAACTGGCAAAGCTGGAGAACACTCTGGAACTTACAGCTTATCATCAGTTTCTACTTTTGAGAACAACTAGGACATGGCCATTGGTGATGTTCCTAAGAATAAATTTTTCAACAAAACGAAACACTTTATTAAAAGAATATAAAAGGATACTCAACTTTACAAAATTATTAAAGTCCAATCCAAAAACTGTGTTGCCTAATTTTACATAACAATGTGAATAAATTAAAATGTGATAACCTGTATTCAGACAGGTGTAGCCAAATCTATTGTGTGTGTGTGTGTGTGTGTGTGTACAGGTTTCCAGAATCCAGCAGAGTCTAGAAAAGAGTACTAGCATTCCAGGAGCTAGCATTCCAGGTGGTTGTGAGTTGCCCATTGTGGGTGCTGTCTGAGCACTCTTAACTGTTGAGTCATCTCTCCAGACCCAAGCAGTCATATTTACTTCCTTCCTATAACAGGTAAATTATTGATAACCTATCAAAACGTGTAACATGTGGTCTCTCTGACCAGTGATTCCATCCTTCAGAATTTATTATATATATATATATGCTAACATAATGCATAAAACTACATTTATGAGAACATTTGTTAAGTCACTGTTTT